GCATCAACAAAAGCCATCTTTACACTGCTAAGGTGTAACATCGTGTACACGTATTTAAACAAAACTGCATAATGTCAATGTTACGATGTGGGTAGATGAGGCACACAGCAAAGGGGTAATCCAAAGGGGAGTCTTTTATTTTCACACCAAGAGTTTAACACTGACGAACAAAGGATTAAAAACACCACAACGTAACTTCACAGCAAGACAAAGGAACTGAGGAAAACACGGTATACAAACACATGGAACGTGATTAGGCAAAACTGCAACAGGTGGAGAACTCAATCAATACAGGTGAACAGAATAAACGATGATTAACTAAATGAGGACAGGAACTGAACCAAATAGGGGCAAACAGGAACTAAACAGAGACAAATACGTGACAGTATAGCCTATAAAAAAAACAACTCAATAAAGGGTGAAGCTGCAATGTCATGAAAAAAATAATTATTTCTGATTATTCATCTTCTTGATATCAGTGACCATTAATGTCGATAAGGCCTAATAAAGGGGAAAAGCATGAAGTAGACATTTGCAACAGTTAGTTTTTTACTGCGGTCAAGCCAGCCGCGGTTGAGATTGTGTACGCGCGTATTACAATGATTACGGTAATTGCAGGAACACACAGAGAGAACGCGCTTTCAGAGCACTTTTCATTTAGACGCCCAGAATTGAGATGTAATATAACAAGATGACATTTCTCGATTTCTTTTTTTTTTGTACTCCTGCTTTAATATGCGTGTTATTTATTGGTGTTTTGACGGATGTGTGTTACTGTATTTTTCGACCTTTCAAATCATAGCAGGATTCCTAGAAAAAGAGATATGGGAAATTATTCGATTTTGAGGGCTACAAAGACACCATTTTTAATGAGTAGAAGAAATGAATGGTCAGTTCTTATATGGGACGTCCCATATTATATACACACATCATCTCAATCCATTTCACTGCAGCATTTTTGAGATATGGGACTATATGGTGATTTAGAGGGCTATAAAGACCCCATTTCTAATAAGTAGAAAAAAAACAAAGGTCAGTTCTTATACGGGACGTCCCATACTATATGCACACCTCATATGAAATCATTTTACTGCAGCATTTTTGAGATATGGGACTATATGGTGATTTAGAGGGCTATAAAGACCCCATTTCTAATAAGTAGAAAAAAAACAAAGGTCAGTTCTTATACGCGACATCCCATACTATATGCACACCTCATATAAAATAATAATACTGCAGCATTTTTGAGATATGGGATCATATGGCGCTTTAAAGGGCTATAAAGACCCCATTTCTAATAAGTAGAA